ACTAATCCTCCTGATTTACACATCCCTGAACACTGTAGGCAATTTAGCATGGCCAATCCACCTAACCTGCACATCTTTGGACTGTGGGGGGAACCGCAGCACCTGGAGGAAGCCCACACAGACACGGGGAGAATGTGCAAACTCCACACACGGTCACCCAAGGCTGGAATTGAACCTGGGTCCCTGGCACTATCAGGCAGCAACACTAACAACTGAGCCACCATGCTGTCTGTGGATTCTGGTCAGCTACTGTGAATGGTAGCAGGGGAACGGCTGAAGGCAGTTCGTGATCAGATTGTAGAATATTTGGAGGCTGTAGACAGGAGAAAGAGCAGTTTCTGGCTTCTCTTGTGCTCAACTGAAGAATTTCCAAAGATGAGTCAGTGCCAGCAGTTTTTTGATTATGTTTAGATCATTGCAAAGTGATACTAACAAGAATCTGAAAAATTTGCCTTGCTGAAGTAAGTTATTTAGAGGGTATAGGATGGGAACAGGAGTGTACCCAGCTGTGAAAAGATATGAATCTGTATACCTCAGTGCTATTTTCAAGTGGCATGAAATCCTCTTAACTGGGTGTTTACATTCAGCCTCACAGAATCAGTTCCAATTCAGTGGAATTGTGATTTTCAAAAAAAGCAGGCCCTTTCAAGTTTTTCCTCAATGTTTTCTAAAATACAGTTGCTGCCATTTGGGAGGGGATGTAGACAGTCTGGGGACATTCACGGTTATCACTCAATCTAAGCCTTGGGTTTGAATAAATGCAGGTGTTTACAACATTCTGAGCTGGTCGCGATTGTAGCAATCTCTGTTAATCACTGTTTCCCCTGCTATGCAGCATTGTAAAGTGGCTAGTCATTTATCATTACAAATCTCCACAGAAGGATATATTGCATCAGGCTTGCTGAACAGTGGGTGGCAACTGAGCATCAGGATCTTACCTGAGGATCAGCGTCCCTTCAACAATCCTGAACTTCTGAGTAGCATGATGGCACGAGCTTAGTTTGTACTCATTCCTGCTATAAAGCTTTTTTGACTTGGAGACAATAACAGCGAGCCAGAGGGTCATCTAAAAGTGGTCTTCAAGGCTTTCAGTCTCTGTGTGATACTGATTGTATTATACAAATATTCATCATCCTTGCATTTCAAGATGAATGAATCATGAATCTTTGTGATTTCTCAAATAGCCATTTCTGTGTTAATGGCAGAAGAACAGAGGATAACTAACCAGGGCTGGAACGTCTACAGTTCAGTTTCTGCATCATAATTCTGCCAATATGGAGTCTAAAAGCAATGAACAGCAATTTATGTTTATACAGAGTCTTTAATGCAAGCAAACACAGCAATAAACTTCACACAGGCAATATAAAACCAAAAGGCACACAAAAGGATTAGGTCAGGTGACCAAAAATTTGGTCAACATAGAACATAGAACATAGAACAGTACAGCACAGTACAGGCCCTTCAGCCCACGATGTTGTGCCGACCTATTATCCTACTAAGACAATCTACCCTGCATACACTACATTTTACTATCATCCATTTGCCTATGCAAGAGTCGTTTAAAAGTCTCTAAAGTATCTGCCTCCACTACCACTGCCGGCAGCGCATTCCACACACCCACCACTCTCTGTGTAAAGAACCTACCTCTGACATCTCCCCTATACCTTCTTTCAATCACCTTAAAATTATGCTCCCTCGTAATAGTCATTTCCGCCCTGGGGAAAGTCTCTGACTATCCACTCTATCTATGCCTCTCATCATCTTGTACACCTCTATCAAGTCACCTCTCGTCCTTCTTCGCTCCAATGAAAAAAGCCCGAGCTCCCTCAACCTTTCCTCAAACGATGTGCCCTCCAGTCCAGGCAGCATCCTGGTAAATCTCCTCTGCACCCTCTCTAAAGCTTCCACATTCTTTCCTATAAGAGGTCAAAGTGCGAAATTTTTAGGAGTATTTGAAAGAAGGCCAGGAAGACAGAGAGGTGGAGAAATAAAGGAGCGCATTCCAAAGCTTCGGACCCAGACAGCTAGATGCGCCCATCAGTGATGGGACAATTAAAATTGGGGAAGCTCAAAGGACTGGAAATAGAGGAGTACGGGCATATCTAAAGATACAGCAGTGATTGAATTCTCCTGCACTTTCAACACAGATAGAGAAGTCACTGCCATATATTGGTTAAGTGTGTTGAGTGCAAACTGCTGTTTGCACAAGGCCATACTGCTTTAATGCATGGGGCAGGTGATAGGATTCAGGGACTACATCCTTGAGTCTTAAAACAAGTAGCTGCTGAGTTAGTAGACACGTGGTTGTATTTTTTTTAAACTTCATAGATCCTGGAACAGTCTCATCAGTTTGGAAAATAGCAAATGTAACTGCACTATTCAAAAAGGAGGGATTCAGAAAGCAGGATACAACAGGCCAGTTAGCCTATAATATTTTCTATACATTTGTTATAGCAAAAATGCTAAAATCTATTATAAAGTTAGTTATGTCACAGCAATTAATAACTCTTAATGCCATCAAGCAGAGTCAATATGGTTTTGTGAAAGGAACATTGTGTTCAACTAATTTCTTATTTATTGGAGCATTTTGAGGAAGAAACAAGCAACATGGAGAAAGGTAAACCTGTAGGTGTGGTGAACTTGAATTCCCAAAAAGCACTTGATGAAGTGCCACCTCAGAGGTTAGAACACAAAATAAGGGATCATGGCATAGGAGTTAACGTATCAGCATGAATAAAAGATTAATTAGTGAACAGAAAACAGAGAACAGGGACAACCATTTTCAGGTTGGCAAGCTATAACTGTTGGTGTGCCACAGAGGTTAGTACTGGGACCTCAATTATTTACAATCTATATCAATATAAATAAACATAATCAATATAAATAAATATAAAACAAATAAATATAAATTTGTGGATTATACAAAGATTGATAGGAAAGTAAGTTGTGAAGAGGATAAAGAGTCTACAATGGGTTAAGTGAGTGAACAAAGATTGGGCAGATGGAGTATAAAGTAGGAAAATGTAAACTTGTCCATTTTGGCAGGAAGATTTTTTTAAAAGCATATTGTATAAATTAAGAGAGATTACAGAACTCAGTGGTGTAGAGGGATCTGGGAATCTTGATGTAGAATCACAAACAGTTACTATACAGGTACAGCAAGTGATTAAAAAGGCACATAAAATGTTGGTGTTCATTGCAAAGGGAATGGCGTACAAAAGAAGGGAACTTTTTCCACAGTTTTAGAGGGCTTTGATGAGACCACATCTGGAATATTTTTACAGTGTTAGTCTCTTTCTTTAAGAAAGGATATAACTGCATTGGAAGCAGATTAAATGAGGTTTACTCAACTGATTTCTGCAATGAAGGGGTTTTCTTATGAGAAAGCTTGCACGGTTTAGGTCTGTATCCATGAGAATTTACAAGAATGAGAGGTGATCTTAATAGAAGCTCATAAGATCCTAAGGGGACCTGTCAGGGTGGTTGATGACAAATTTGTTTCCCCTTATGGAAGAGACTAGAACTAAGGGGCACAGTTTAAAAATTAAGGTCTCCTGTTTAAGGTGGAGATGAGGAGATTTTTTTTATTTTCACTCAGAAGACAGTTAATCCATGCAATTCTGTTTCCCAGAGAGCTGCAGGATATTGAATATTTTTAAGTCTTAGACAGATAGATTCTTGATTTTCACAGGAGTCAAAGCGTTTACAGAGCAGACAGAAAAGTAGAGTTAAAACCATAATTAGATTAGCCATGATTTTACAGAAGGTGAAGCAGATTCCACGGGCCAATCCTAATTTGCATGTATGTTTCATACCTCAGGATAGGTAACTCCTGTGGATCCTGGATTCAATGGAACTGATTGGGTAGAATGAAGGGAGAGTCACATACTGCAATGCAAGTCTTTGGGAATTGACAGTTTCCTCACAGCTATATCATCAGAAGAAGCAAAATAATTCCTTATACTCTGAATATTTTAAGACAATGATTCAAATAACTGTGTGACATGACTCTTGGCTGGGACAGTTTAAACAGAGTAGTTTGTATTTTCATGAATCTTGTTCCTAATCGCAGCACATATCATTAGGATAAATAAGGATGGAATTGTTTTGCAATGTCTGTAATTGTTGGTAAGGAAAGAAACAGTATCTGCAAGGGAAGGAACAGTGAGAAAGATTCACATGATTTGAGACAGGTAATTATCAAATATACTGAGAGGATAGGAGGAGCAAATGAGATATTAATCATGCATGGAATAGGAGGAGGTAATAATTCTGTACTCTTTAGGAGTGGGTAATAACCCTTTATTCTATAGGGAGGTGATAATCCTGTACTCTATGGAGGGAGTAATAATCCTGTACTGTATGGGAGTGATAATAATCCTATAATCCATAAGGGGTAAAGTATTCTATAAGTGTGGCAATATTGGGATGAAATTTGTCTTTATAATCACTTTTGTGAAGCGCTTTGGGATGCTTTACTACATTAAGGCCAGTAGTTGCCATTGTACTGGTTTCATAGTTACTGCTTTATGTTTATTTCTTTTAATTGCAATGAACTCCACTAATGTTCCTCAGCTCCTTAAATTGCTGCACCCAGTTTGTCATTTTTTCCATTTTGCAGGACTTTCACATTGTCAGGTGCAATCGGCAAATATTTATTATTCTCCAAAATATATATTCTTCCAGATTCAAGGCACCTGTGCAGAAATCCTGAGAGAGCCATTACTCAGGACCTATGCTGTCTCAGCAACTTCTACTGTCTGTACCATGATGCTTAGCTTCCTATTCATTCCACAGTATTCTTTCAAAAAATACTCCCATATGGAGCTTCAATAACTAAAATCAAAGTCTGTTAACTTAATTTCATATCTCCTTGATTGACAACAATTTCAATAAAATCGAGAGTACAAAATTAGTATGTAACTAAATGCCAAACTATTTAAACCAGATTTATTTAAGTCTTTTGCTTACTTAAATTTACTTAAATTTATGTTTTCAAGGTCATTCCCTGGATACTATAGAAGACATCTCTGCAATTCTTGAAGACAGATAGAAACAGACCACCAGCTGGTCTTTGCTTTTCACAGCTTCTGATTTCCAGACTCGGGAACGTGCTGTCAGAGCCAAATCAGACTGCATATGTATGATCTTCATAAAAGTAACTGTGTAATGTCCCCTATCTTGTTCTTTAGCCAAAATGGAGCTTATTTAATAGCTGCTCGAATTTTGGGAGCTTCCAATAAGTAGTACGTGATGTTTACCATTTCAAAGAGTTTCTGGGGCCAAATGATTCACTACATTTACTTAACATAACTGGAAGAGACTCTGATCCTTTCGAGTGCGCACACGGCCACACTGTAGACAGTACTGCATTTAAAGTAAACCATATTCTGCTGGGAAAATTGTTATGCTAATAGTGACTGCTACCAAAATGGCATTTGATATTTCTACACACCCATAGCTCTGTTTTACTCTTCCTGCTTCTCTGACACTGTGCATGAATCCACTACCATATTCATGTTAGAATTATACTTTAATTGTTATATGACCTAACAGTGATGGATTTACTGCTGTTCTTTAATACTAATAGGATTCTCAGGCATTTTTCAAAGTTGCAAACTCATGCATCAAATTTCAACAATTTGTAACAGCCCAGATGCATATGATGTGCAAATGAAGGAATATACAATTTTTAAAAAATATATCTTGTGAAATGTAAAGTTGATGATTAAAGAAATTAAAGTTTATCATTAATCCTAGTGTTGCATTACTTGTTATTGGCATTCTTTCATATTTGTAGGATGAAGAATATGCAGCAAGTCAACTCCATTAGTGTGGGCTAGCTTTCCGTGGTTCAATTTTGTTGGTGACTGAAGAGACCAGTCTGTGAAAAGCCATAATTATTGCATATGGGTTATTATCAGAAATGCTTAAAAATATCAGCAAACACAATTTTTAATTATTTCTCAGTGTACATATTGTCCATATTTTATCACCATTTGGTTTCACACTAAGCTGATCACAGTGCTGAATCTACTGCCTCTTGATTTTCGTGGACTGGCTTCAGCTGCTATGATAATTTTGCATTTGTACTTCAATTCATGTATGCAATCCAACAGGGAGTAGAACTTAAACTCTGTATGATGGTGTATATTGTAATGGAATGAGTTGGCAGCCTATTTTATATCTCTCCCCATTACGTCCATGCTATTTTTATTGATTTTTTTTCCCCCCTTTTCACTAGGTATTTGTCAAATCTTGTTTGAAATCCATTTCATCTTTTACTTTTTTTGAAATTCCATCATGGGATATGAGTTTGCTGACGTGGCCACCATTTCTTTTCCATCCCTAATCGCCCTCGAGAAGGTGGTGATAGGCTGCATGTTGAACTGTTGCAGCTCACTGAGGGTAGGTACACCCACAGTTCAGTTAGGAAATTTTAATCTTAGTTATTTCAGTAATCCAGGTAATGACAATCAATACTGAAAACAGTAACATCAGTAGGTGATTGAGTAGTGAACAAAATAAATGCCAAAGGCTATTTCTAAGTGTTTTTTGTTATGTCAGACATACAGTTTGGAATCTCATGCCACTACTCCAGGTTGCATTCCTAAAGGTCAATGGGAGCATTCTTGCCTCTGAGTGCACAGTTCATGGATTCATGCAGCACTGCAGCATTTGTGCACAAGTCTAGGCTGACACTTCTGATGGCATGCTGTAGTCTCAGAGATGCCACCTTTCGGGTCAGACTTTAAACTGAAGCTCTGTCAGGTTCCTTTTAAAGATCCCACAGTCTTTACTTTGTTGCTGAACAAGGGAGTTCTCCTTGGCTGACCTCAACCATTATCTATCCCTCAATCAGCATCACCAAAAACAAAGGATTAATTGTTTATCTAATTGTTGTTTGTAGGATCTTGCCATACACAAATTGACTGCCACATATGCCTACAAAACAACAGTCACTACACTTGAAAAAGTACTTCACGTCCTGAGGAAGTTAAAGGTGCAATATATATGCAAACTCTTCCTTTGGGCAAAAGTCTGTAATTTCCAGTTATCATACAGATTTGTGAATTCTATGTGAAATCTTCTAGTTCCTTAAAGAAGGCAACTGCTATAGAAATCACCAAGCCTGTAGCCATAAGTAAGCAAAGGTTCTGGGTTGGCATTGCTGCATACCATGCCAGGTTGGGAAACCCTGCATTTGCTGCACACCATGCCAATGAGAAACCCCGCATTTCCTGCTTGTTACCAAATGTGGGTCAATGCAGTGATGCACATTCATCGAGGTGACCTGATCCCAGGAACCCAGCAACCATTAATTTGTAAAGACAACCTGTGGCCAGCTGACATCACATCACCATCCTCTCTAAAAGAAAGTCTAAAAAATTGTCTTGTTTTCTAAATAGTTGTGTGTCTGCACTGAACATTAATCCTTTTAGATATATGTGTTCAGGAGCTTCTGGTATGCCACTGCAATAATCAGTTTTAAGCTGCTTTAGCGTCAAGGTCTGGAATAAAAATCGCACTGATTAGATAATAAAGAAGCTATCTCACAGTCACTACTGGTATTATCACCATACTGGGTTGTTACAGCACCCGAGTAACAAAGTTGGCTTGAGAATGTATGAACAATGTGTTTGAAGTTTTCATAGGGAAATTCTCATCTCACCAGAGAAGTTGAGCACAACACAATTCACGGCTGCAGTACTTGTGAGTTGTAGGTCTTTCACAGGCTTAAGGAGACAATCACTGTGTCTACAATCCATCATGTATTCCTGAAAGTTTGAACTTTCCTTTAATCTGTTTTTATATATTGTCTGTTAGTTTAAAGCACTAATGTACTATTCTATGGCACTTGAAATTGTCAGGAATTAAATGATCTGTCTTACCTTACAACTTCAGAAATGTATTGAATTGACTATGAAACACTTTGGTATGTCCTGAGACAGCGAAAGGCACTGGAGAAATGCGCTTCTTTGTTCTCTGTTTGTTTGCAGTGGTACTGTATTGTCACTTTTTTAGTTTCACCGTGTTTTCAGTGGCACCACATTTTAGAGGAAAGTATTTTCAGTAGCATCACCTTTTCTGTGTCACCGTGTTTTCAGTGTCACTGTGTTTTCTGTGTTACCATGTTTTGTGTTACTGTGTTTTCTGTGTTACTGTGTTTTCTGTGTCACTGTGTTTTCTGTGTTACCATGTTTTCTGTGTTACTGTGTTTTCTGTGTCACTGTGTTTTCTGTGTCACTGTGTTTTCTGTGTTACCGTGTTTTTTGTGTCACCGTGTTTTCTGTGTCACTGTGTTTTCTGTGTGACCATGTTTTCTGTTTGACCATGATTTCGATAACACTGATTTTCAATTCCACCATGTTTTTGGTAATCCAGTAGTTTTTAAGCCAGTAATCTTTGATCCAATGAATATTCTGTTGAGGTATTGACATATATCATATTGCAACCATAGCTTCGGACTGTGAAATATTGTCTACCCGTGTTAGTGAACAATTATCTCCAGGTGTGAAGTTAATTGTCTGAACTGATTGGAGCTGTTTGAATTATTTTGCCACGATATTTCTCATTAATGTTTATTTAACCGTTAACAGAGCTGTAACATTACTGCATTTGTATCAAACATTTAAGTTTTACTTAACTGATTATCCAAGAGTTTTTTTTCCTTGCAAACTGTGGAGTTTTCTTACATGAATACTTAAAAATCTCAGAACTTAAACTTTCTCAGCTCTGAATATTTTGCAGGCTTCGAACCAAGCACAAGTAGCTTGGAAGTTGCACAAACTAAATCTTGACACTGAAGTAGCATATTCCCTGAACTGCTCTGAAAATCTCCTCCCCGGGAGAGAAATTACACTTCTTCTGACCACTACTCTGGTATTTTTTGAATATCAATGGTACAGAGACTGGAATTAAGGATGCTTTAAAAAAGTCAGAGCTGTGGTGGAATGTATATACCTTAGAGGGTTTTGGTACTGGAGGAGATTACAGAGATCTGGAAGGGACAATGTAATGGATTGATTTGAAAGCAATAATGAGAAGCATGAAACTGAAGCACTGCCTGAGAGAAAGGCAATGCAGGTCAACAAGCACAGGGGTGTCAGTGAATATGACTTGATGTGACTTAGGATGTAATATTCTGACTCCAGTTCCAACCAAAGAAGTAGTAGCCTTAGGAGAGAATGCTCTGGCAATGTTGCTCAGCATTTAATCCGAGGAGGCCTGCAGCTCTGAAACCCTGCTCTCTCTCCTGGTGACATTCCCACTGATTTAAAAAAATGAAAGAACTGGGATGCTGTAAATCAGGAACAAAAACAAAGTTGCTGGAAAAGCTCAGCAGGTCTGAGGAAGGGTCATCGGACCCAAGACGTTAACTCTGTTTTTTCCTTCACAGATGCTGCCAGACCTGCTGAGTTTTTCCAGAAACTTTGTTTTTGTTCCCACTGATTTAACTTCTGCTAAACAGGATTGCTGGTCATCTCAGGAATGATGGTATTCGTTCTTGACTAGAAAAAAAGTAAGCAAAAGAATAGGTTTCTAGCAATAGTAGGCATTTTTGCTGAGCTGGTATTTTACTAGATCACTCTGAATTTCTTTTTATATTTGTACAGGGCATATGGCTGTCACTGACCAGACCAGTATTTATTACCCATTGCTAGATGCTCAGAGGGTAGTTAAAAGTCAAATACATTGCTACAGGTCTGGAGTCACATGTAGACAGACTGGGTAAGAATGGAAGATTTCCCTCCCTAAAGGGCATTAACAAACCAGATTGTTTTAGGGACAACTGAGAATCACTTCTTTAAATTGAATTCTTCAGATTTTTAGCACTGTAATTGCCTCTGTACACCTGTTATGGAAACTGCTAAATCTGATTCAGCACAAGGTTTGATTTTTTAAAAATCTACTTTTATTAAAACAGTCAAGTAAGAGTCAATCAAGTCTTAAATACTTGGCTAGAAATATGAGCCTACTCTTTCTGCTGATTATGAAGTACTTTATTCTATTTTATGAATAGTTACCATTCAGTTCTTACACAGGGTACATTGAAAATTGCCCCAAAATATATCTTTTTTTCTATTCATTCGTGGGATGTGGGAGTCGCTGGCTGGCCAGCATTTCTTGCCCATCCCTAGTTGCTTTTGAGAAAGTGGTGGTGAGGGACATTGGGACAGATGTAGGCCATTCAGCCCTTTGAGCCTATCTTGCCATTCATACAATAATGGATGATCAAACATTTCAATACCTTTTACTCACCAGTTCCCTCTTTGCCATTGATAATCAGAAATCTATCAAACTCTTTCCGAAGCATACTCAAAGACAGCCCTCTGGAGTATAGAAGTCCAAAGGTTCATAACCCACTGAATAAAAAACAAAATTCTCATCATCTCACATCTAAGTGGCATCCCCCTTATTTTTAAATTGTGCCCTCCGGTTCTCAACTCTCCAACCAGAAGAAAAGTCTTACCTGCACCAATCCCTTTTAAGTATTTTGTATGTTTTATTGAGATCATCTCTCATTCTTCGAAACTTTAGAGAATACGGGTTTGTCCAAGCTCTCTTCATAGCAGAGTCAGGCTAACCAGGAAACAATGATAGCTTTCCTGTTGTGATGGAAAATGTGTGATTTATATATCTGTTAATATCATTTATTTTGAGGGAGTATGAGAGAGGGATTCTGTGGGGTGGTAATCAGAATTTGTTTATATTGGGAGAATGTTACAAGTGGACAGAGTACAAAGAACAAAGAAAA